GACCAAGGGTTAAAAAAGCAATTTTGAATAGAGAAGGAGGTCTTGGTAAATAGAAAGAGGAATAATAGGAGTTTGGAATCACCCTCACCAATCTGGAATCAGCCATCCAGCCAACCTCGAATATAAGGGCCCTTAGAGAGCCCAAAGGTTGCTCCATAGAGTGTTTTAAGCTTATTTTATCTGTTAGATTTTAAGGATTATAAATATAATTTGCAGGATTATAAAGCATTATAAATATAATTTTCAGAGATTTAACGTGGATTTTCTAATCAAGAAATCAAATGAAGAACAGAGATTGGGGGGGCGTTTTGTGCAGTAACCATATTTATTCTTGGGTAATAAGTGAAACTTGTCTGACTGCTCACCTGGAACCAGTAGAGTCTAAAACCACAGAAACAGGAATCTAAAAATAAATGTGCATATGTGCAAACTGGATGTAAAACTTCCATGACACGTGTCCGAGGTGAGCTCTGTGGTTTTTAGCAGTGAAGTGGCTCTATACATAGATTAAGCAAACTCTAAGTATCAATATTAGATGAAGTTGATGAAATATTTCATGTTTATATGTATCCTTTTCCTCTACACACCCCAAGGTGCCAAATTCCCAATAAAGTGGACCTCTCCAGAGGCCATTAACTACGGCTGCTTCACCATCAAATCAGACATGTGGTCTTTCGGGGTGCTTCTCTATGAGATCATCACATATGGAAAAATCCCTTATCCAGGTAAGCAGTAGTTCTTCTGAAAATTATATGATCATAAAGTGCACTACAAAATTTGTTTGACTGATTTAACTATGTAAACTATTTAAATAGTAGCAGAGCTGTTTTGGTCCATACAGTGTAACAAAAAACAATTGTAGTTATGCATACGTTTTACCAAACAAAAAGTTTTTTCCTGATAACAGAGAATCTAAGCTTCATTCAAATTGTGCTAAAAACAATCAGTGTTGCAGGAATTAAAAACAAAGAGCGCACAGATGATGGCAATAAAACCTCCGCCGCTGGTGCTCTTTTGGAAAAAAGGAACTAGTATCTCTCACTTCCAGAGATACAGCTAAAAACAAACAGCTTAAGCCACGAGTAGGCTATATTCTACATACAGAAAATGAAAGAGTTCAGAGAGTTAAAGGCTTTAGTAGCTCTAAAAATTATTTTAATCTGGAAAGAGGAATAGTAAAACACCCTATAACTTGCAAATCTTTTATGTCTGCTGCCTTGTGCTGGTTTGTAAAACATATTTGTATTTAGTTGCTATAGTTTCCTCCACATTGTCTGGCATCATTCACTGCCATCTGCTGACTCTTATTAACTTTAACAGCTTTTACACTTACCATCATTCCTCTAACAGCAGTCCTAACAGGTGTCTTCACTGTCTCCAGGTATGACTAAGGGGGAGGTGATGTCATCCATTCAACGTGGCTACAGGATGCCCCAGCCTCCAAACTGTCCCCCTGAGCTGTATGACATCATGATGTCCTGCTGGAGGGACAAGCCTGAAGACAGACCCACCTTTGACTACTTGCAGAGCGTCCTGGACGACTTCTACACCGCAACAGAGGGACAGTACCAACATCAGCCTTAGCGCTACCAGCCCTGTTTGGGTTTCCCATAAAAAGACTTACAGACATTTCACATCCACATCACATTGTGTTTTATTTACTTTTATGCAAATCTCTTGTACATATATCTCACATTCTGATGTATGTGGAATTTTTGTTTATTTCTACTACAATTATGAATTGCATTTTTGAGCTTCACATTCAGCCTCTGAATATGAAAGCTGTTATATTTAGTATATTGTGAACAATATCGTATCGGAAGTTGTAAAAAAAGATTATTTGCAATCACGCTCTTTTTGGGCACTATGGTCTCTCTGGGACTAGATATATTAATACTAGATCCGGATATATGAGTTGCTAATATATATAATATTCTTTGTGTGTGGGCTGCACAGTGGCGTAGTGGGTAGCACTGTTGCCTTGCAGCAAGCGGGGCTCTATTCCCAGCCTGGGGTCTTTCTGCATGGAGTTTGCATGTTCTCCCTGTACATACGTGGGTTCTCCCCGAATACATCAGCTTCCTCCCACAGTCCAAAAACAGGTTAATTGGCCTCTCTAAAAAAAATTCTGTGAGTGTTTGTGTGAATGGTTGTTTGTCCTGTTTGTCCCTGTGTTGTCCTTTGATAGAGTGACGACCTGTCCAGGGTGTACTTGGCCTCTGTCATGGAAAATGGATGGATATTTATGTGTGTGTATATGTATAGTATCAGTGTGTGTGTGTGTGTGTGTGTGTGTGTGTGTGTGTGTGTGTGTGTGTGTATATACATGTTTTTCAGAGATAATATCAGAGCTTATAAATGACTTTCCGCATATTTCTTGCTTGCAAGTTATTAAGGTACTGTAAACTAACAGATACTATAGCTTCAGGTAATGTGATCTTAAAAACTCAACATATTAAGCAGTATGGAATGTGTAATCTTTCTCTTTAAAAATTAAAAAATATAAGTTCCTATTATATCAAACTTCTTGTTTGGTATTGAATGAGATTTTGTATTAAATAAAAAATATTCCAGAGGTTTTTAATCCATCTTCTTTATGTTTCATTTTCAAAAGCTGCTCAACAAATATTGGTTATAAAGCTTTAACTCCTTTTGTCATTTTTTGGTTTATTTGGTTTATCTGGTTCGCTTGAATTTCACTGTGTAACACTGCCTTAGATGAACAGTTACCAAAGTCTAAGTTGGGACACCTGTAAAGTGTCGGTTAAACTGGTCTCCTCATTAAGAAGCTTGTTATGGTTCTCCCGATTTGGGACACTGAGTTTTTAGTTTTCTGTTTTCAGTTGTTCTGTTTTGTTCTTTGGTTTATTTTCCATTATATTCAAGCTGTCTTTAGTTACTCTCTGTTGCCCCCTTGTGCTTGTTTCCTTTCCCCTTGGCTTCCTTCTAGTCGGTTCCACTCACACCTGATCCTTATTTAGCTCATTAGTCCATCCTTTGTTCTGTTCCCCTATATATTCCATCAGTGCTGGTTCCTTGTTGTTTCCTCATCTCTCACTCCCCACGTGAGTTTTCCTTTGAAGTTTTTTTTGGTTCAGTATTTTTGTTCTTTGGATTTTTCCTCTGTTTACTGATTAAATCTTCAAGTCTCACCTCAGCCTCCTGATTTCTGCATTTGGGTCCTCAAGCAACCTCACCATCCATTGTTGACAAAGCTGCAACATGTAAAGACTTCAGTTTTGTAAATAATTGTTATCATCCTTTGTAAAAGGAGAAAAATCACATAGAAATCAAAGGCTTTGAAATATATCTAAACTGAACTTATAGGGTTTTTGTCCCAATTCATTTTCACTAAAAAAGGCCTGCACTTTTTTTCTGTCTTCCTTGCTTGTTTTTCTTGTTTGGTTTTTTTTTTTTTGTTTTACTCTAATATACAAGCAAATACAGATGACAATTGTTTATTTTTGCTTTGTATTGTTTTAAACAGGTGGAATAAAATATTATTAGTTTATTGCCAAATAGGCATTAACCATAATGCCAAATAAAACTATATTAAACATTCAAAGGTAGAAATTATAGTGGTTATTGTTAGAATTGTATTCATCAAGAACCATTTAGGATCCCCTCTGCATGCATTGCTGGTATAAAGAGTTGGAAGAAAGTTAAGGTTTTTTTTTTTTTTTATGAGGCTTAATGAGGCAGCATTTTAGGAGATCCATGCAAATCCAGATTAGATTTTCCCTGGGACTGAAGCTAACAGTCTTTGAAAGACCAAAACCAAACAACATTTCTATGATCATAAAATAACCATCTCTAGTTTTAAAGTCACCATAGTGGTTTTATGAGGATGGGTCAAATACATGTAAAGCAAAAATAATTTAATTAAACTTTTTTTACACCTTTGACTTTTTGTTATGGACATGTTTGAGCTCAAAAAATATTTCTCTTTCACAGCTTCATCATGTAAAGTTGATGACAGTTTAAAAGTTTACCAAAACATTGCTTAAAGTGCTACAAGGTTTCTGAGATTGGGATGATTTTAATACAGGAAAAATATCCTTTTTATGCCTGTCCGCCTTAGGCCAACCATTAGGTTCAACTTAACTCAACTCAACTCAAACTTTATTTATAAAGCACATTTAAAACAACCGGGATTGACCAAAGTGCTGTACAGGAATCACAGTTAAGGAACATAAGATAAAAACTGAAGGCTAAAATACAAAAACACAAAAATAGAATAGGATAAATGTTTCAATTAAAATACATTTTAGAATAAAATAAAATTGGTCTGATCAGTAAATGAGCCATATAGTGACCCTTAAAAGTATAATGTTCTTGCTTCAAATGATCTTAAAATGTATTTTTATTGAACAACAGCAACAGATAAGAGAACTGTTATCTTAATACTCTGAGCTCTGTGAGTTAAGAAGATGGGCCGCCAACCAATGGGCAGAAGTTGACCCACTAAGCCTTCCTCCTTTACATAATGAGGCAGAAATGAAGACAGAAATGTAAAAACGACAGGCAGAAATAAATAGCATGGAAGAAATAAATAGGGTCAAAAATACAAAGGAAGAATAAAACAGACAAAAAATATATCATGCACATAAATAAATACTTTAAAAAATAAATAATAAATAAATTAAGTTAAAGATTATAAGGGACAATAAATAAATAAGGTTATTATTATAAAGGTACATAAATGAAGCTAATTAATAGAGACATATACATTTATGTCTTACTCTATAATTTAATTTCTACCTACATTTTGGGTAGAAATTTTGTTTATTTATTTATTGAGCATTTATTTATTTCTCTATTCTTAAATATGCCAGAGTTTGTCCTCCATACAAGGGGTTTAATTATGTGGGGAAAGACACAAAAAAACACACACACACACACACACACACACACACACACACACACACACACACACACACACACACAAGCGGAGAAAAGCTTTTATTTTGAAACGTCGCGGTGGCTTGGTGACTGATCACATGATCTTCCAAGATGGCCGCGCCCTCTAGCGAGCAGGGCCAGTTTAACGAGACGAGCCGCAGATGCAAAGTGACGGCTTGAGACGTAGACAAAGCAGCTTTTAGGTGAACCTGTCGCTTCTTTATTCCCGCAGACATGAGCAACAACGACTTTATCCTGTAAGTATCAATTAGCTTCTTATAAAACCGGGTTTCAGCGTTATTCTTTCAGCCTTTTATTAGCTGCTAGCTGCCTAAACAGAAACTTCATGAAACATTCTGTGTCATTCTTATGAAAGCATCAATTAGTATTTCCTTAGTAAAGGAATTTACAGAATGCTTCTAGTAGGGATAATTAGAAAATGTTTACACACACAAAGTTGTATTTATCAATAATATCAATAACGGCTTAAATAAGATGTTTTATGTCTAATCCTGACACTACATTCCTAACCTAAAGGTAATTCACTCCATACATGTAAACTGACTCTTTAACATTAAACATGGAGGTGCACCACATTAAAATCAGTCTGCTGGTCCTCAGAAAGTTGGTAAATAAAGCAAACACAGTGCTAAATAGAAAACATAAATGATATTGTAATGCTTTTACTCTAGGATCAATCAGCAGCCTACATTCATTCAACCGTTTTCTTTGTCTGCTGCTGGATGATAAGAATGAAGGGGAGGTTATCAGTCCCTTTCACTGAGGGCAGATCAGCTCAGGATGCTGTGTAGGGAGTGGGAGGGGTGAAGCAGGGTAATATATTTGCTGTTTGAAGGGATGGGTTGCATCATCTGAAGCACATTGTCATGGTTGAACTATTTGTGTTCAAAGTTTAAGCTAAAGTGGGGAAAAAAGTAAGTAATTAATAATGCTGGGAGTAAGAGTTTTAGGTCATTAGGATGACTAGGAATATGTATATTGCTTTAATTCTTTGATTTTTCTTTAAAACCATAAGCAATTTTTTTTTGTTTTTTTGTTTTGTTTATTTTAATATGGACAGCATTACTTTGTGATCACAACTCGGCAGCAAGTTATAGGTGATAGAAGCCCTGTTAATGCAGGAGCTGCGTGTTTACCTGCACATGAAACAGTTTGGTAAAGCCCAGATGATGATGTCATGGCTTTACAAGCTTTTACAGGATGTGTTCCTTTTTTTAACATTTAGGATAGTTAGAGAAAAACATGTAGAGGCATTTCAGGGCGGCACACTTCTGGGCCATGGCGTTACGACACAACAATAGGCCCGTACGCAACATTATCTTGGTGGGCCCCATATGAAGTACAACACCCCATGCACGCCGCTGCTGCTGCCGTAGCCAACAGACAGAGAATGAGCCCCATACATACACACTTCATCACTTCATTCTTCACCTTCACTAGACATGGAGATACTTTAGTATATTCTGCTGTAAAATGAGTCTTATCAGGCTACCTTGAGTTTCACAGCTCCCCCTCCTCACCCACACACTCTCCATTCATCTCCTGGTCGCAGTCTTCACTCCCTGCAGCAGCAACGTCCACCTCTCCCTCTTCAGTTCTTTGAAAGAACGTGTTTATTTTGGGAATTTCTTTTCGTTCTTTCAGCAGCTCTTCTTTGCTTTTTTTTTTTCCGGAATCCACTTAAATAACTCTTTTTGTTATCCGTCGTCGCTAACAAATTGTACGTAAGGTTGTGGTTTTATTTACGCTCTGGATTACCCATAATTCCAAGTTTTTCCACTGTAAAAAATAAAATACTCAAATACATTAGAGCTTGGAATCCTGAGGTTCTGAGTTTGAGCCCCGCTCTGGCTGCCTGACCCCCACACTGCTCCTGGGCGCCACACAATGGCAGCCCACTGCTCACTAGGGGAAGGGTTAAATGCAGTGTTCATTGTGCTGCTAGAATTGTTTTAGAACTTTACAATGGATCTGTGTAAAGTGGGTTTTATAGACGACCGATTAATTAATTTACCATCACCAATCCCTGATCTCAGTCCTATAAAGGCAAAGCAGAGAGTGTGTATGGACTTAGGTGGCCTGACTATTCAAATAGGAGAATCAGACCGAAATTGCAACCATCTGCGGTGAGAAACTCGTGGAAGAAATAGGTTTTAGCTTCCTCAGCAGCTTGTCAATGAAAATATACTGCATTCATGATCAGAGAAAGATCTGCTTTCTTACTTTTCATTGGGCCAGTCAGGGCTGAATAAGCTGAAAATATCGATTTCGGTCACCTGTTGCTTTATCTGTTAATCTTAAATTGGATCTTTCTTCCATCCAGCCCCAAAGACTTCCCTGAGCTGAAGAATGATACATTCCTGCGAGCAGCACGAGGAGAAGAGCCCGAACATGTCCCTGTCTGGTGTATGAGACAGGCTGGGAGATACCTACCAGGTACCGATATCCCATCAACTCCTCTTTCGTTTCACTGCAAGGATTTTGAAAGTTGATGATGTTATTTTCTGGCAGGGGTTTTGCATCTGTTTAATGTTATCTGCACTGTTCCTGTTATCTGATGTCTGTTAATGAGGCAGCGGTTGGTAACAACTCTTCTTCTGTTGAATGTTTATCTGCAGAGTTCCGTGAGATCAGAGCAGGGAAGGACTTCTTTGACACATGTCGGTCCCCTGAAGACTGCTGTGAGCTCACCCTGCAGGTAAAAACTCAAATGATTGTAGAAAAAAAAGCTGATTTGACTTCCACAGGGCAAACAGTCATCATATTTTTATAATACTAAAGTTTAAAGTAAAAATAAATATGGGCTATAGGGTAGGGGGCAGTTTTATTTCTTCTGTAAATGCAATTTTAGTTTTGCTTTGTTTCTCCACTCTGTTCAAAGGATCATGATATAAGAGTTAAGCTCTGGGATTAATATCTCTTATCCTCTGATGATGTCCTTCTTTTCTCCCTTCAGCCTTTGAGACGTTTTCCCTTCGATGCCTCCATCATCTTCTCTGACATCCTAGTCATCCCACAGGTAAAGGACCCAGTGTCAGTTTTTGAACATATTTAATTACCTTTACCTTAAAGAAGTGTGACTGTAGGGGGGCGGCTGTAGAAACAAAATGAATACATGACTAATTTTGATAGTTATTCTTTTCCAGTTGTATTAAATATTGAATTCTGTCACATAATAAACTTGTAAAATAATCCTTCTTTAAAGGTGTCTGTTTAGGGATTGAGATTTATGTATTTGCCATATTTAATTTACTGCAGGCTTTTTTTTAAACTGTTTTCTGCAGTATTTTGTAATAGTAGTGATACTTCCCTGATATTTGTTTGTTTTGTAAAGTTACAACCAAAACCTTTAGTGTTATCATTAAGAGGAGGGAACAGATGACACGAATAGAATATATTTCACAGATAATAATCAGAAAAGTTTAGTCTATTGTTGTTTTAAAGCAATTTATTTACCTTCATTTTTCATCATGTTGTGCTGGAAGATAATTTATAGATTATTGGATTATTATCATGAGCATATTTATACACCAGAAGACAAACTTAACGCTCGTTTTTCATGGTCTCTTTGTAAATATTTAGTTTCTGTGTTTGTCCTTTCAGGCCATGGGTATGGGGGTCCAGATGTTGCCTGGTAAAGGTCCGACCTTCACCGACCCGCTGAAGGAACCGGAGGACCTGCAGCGTCTCCAGCCCAATGTGGATGTCAACAAAGAGCTGGATTATGTCTTCAAAGCCATCACGCTGACCAGACACAAGATTGAAGGAAAAGTTCCCCTCATAGGATTCACCGGAGCTCCGGTGAGAGAAAGTCGCGACCCGCTGCTTTGTTGATGTCTAGAGAAACAAGAACGCGGTTAAACCCTTGTCGTTCCACAGTGGACCCTGATGGCGTACATGATCGAAGGCGGAGGTTCCAACACATATTCTAAAGCCAAGCGTTGGCTCTACCGGCACCCGGAGTCCAGCCACATGCTGCTGAAGATGCTGACGGATGTGATTGTAGAGTACCTGCTGGGTCAGGTAGCAGCAGGAGCACAGGTCAGAACCATTTTAGCCTTTACAATTACACCGCATCATCGCTTGAAATATATTTAGTAAGAAGATGATTCGTACTGTGAAGGGGAGGGGATGTGAGTTACAGGGAAAAAGGTTATTTGCTGCTATTTTTGCGGCAGCTCCCGCCTACTCTCTGCAGGGAAGCCATTTTTCTTTATATCAGCAGAAAAATACTGCTGATCACCATTTTCCTTTTGATTTCCTAAGGAAATGGACCAAAGTCCTGAAACGCAAAGCTGCATTGTTATGGTTGAGTCTAGAAAACTATATCTTGATGTAATGATATTATGACTTTACTATTTACTGATAGTGTAACACAAATAGTATTAAAGATTTAAATCCCTCCAACTTTATGACGGATTGGCATGGCATGATGCTGGCATCTTCAAACTATTGATTCTGCATAGTTTGTTTGGACTCACTGTAATTGCCCAATACAAAGTGACATAATGTGGTTTTCAAGAATATTCCTTAAAAAAAAAACTAATTCTAGCTTGGTTTGCTTGTGAATTAAATCCTCCTGACAAGGAGCTTAACATGTTTTGTCTCAAACACATTTGCACATAGAGACGGAAGTTCTGAGTAGTAGGTAGTGGTGGCCTAGTGGTTGGAGCATTGCACTTAAATCCCAGAGGTTCAGAGTTCAAGCCTGATTTAACCAACTGGACATTGTCTGGATTTTCTGAAATAAAATGCTGATTTACTGTAAAGATGCTGTTTTTTTCAGACTGTTTAACTAGATCTTTAATCTGCCGACCTCTCTGTTCTCCAGGCTCTGCAGGTGTTTGATTCCCATGCTGGCATCCTGGGCCCGGTGGAGTTTAAAGAGTTCTCCCTGCCATATCTCCGAGACATCGCTCGCCGTGTCAAGGACAGACTTAAGGAGAAAGGACAGGATGTTCCGATGGTGAGAGACACCGTGTCCAGAGATGCTTTTAGATCAGTAGGCATCATCTGATTAGGTGCAAACAATTCCCCAAGAACAACATGGAGGCTCTAAATGCATGATCTCATTTATTCACTGCATTAGTGCCTGCGATTTAACAAACGCAGGCCTCTTGTGTTCCCTCACAAGCATACTGTTGCTAAAATAACACCTAATCCCTAATGGGATCAATAAAAATGATGCCAAATTCTATGACCCTTCATTACCTGTAGGTGGCAGTATTGCATCAAAGCTGGATCAGCATGAGCCATCTTTACCTCTTGATGTCTTTTGCTATTCCAGATTGTGTTTGCGAAAGATGCTCACTACGCTTTAGAGGAGCTTTCCGAGTCTCACTACGAAGTGGTGGGGCTGGACTGGACCATTGACCCCCGATCAGCACGGTAACACACAGTTTATAGAGACTTCTACTGATCCCCACCCTTTGCTGCTACATTTAAATTCAGTCCTTCTGTTTGGTTTTACTGGAAGCAGCTGAAAGCTTATTAATCCAGTTACAGCAGAGATCATGGGTTTGTTGCACTCTCTAAAACAACTTTCCTCCCCCTAGTTGGTCTCTGGCTGCAGGATTTAAGTCAACAAACATATGTGCTTCCTGCTTCCCTCATCAAATACTTAACCTGTTGGTTAAAGGATTAACAAGTTTGTGTGCATGTGTGTTCGTTCAGGGAGCGCACCGGAGGGAAGGTCAGCCTGCAGGGTAACATGGACCCCTGTGCCCTGTATGCTCCAAAGGTAACCTCTACTTCCTCAATGTTTAGAATTGCATATTGACAGATGTGAGGCTCTGATAAATTAGGCAGTTTTCTCCTTGGGAGAAGAAAAAAAAGAAGTGTAGCCTCTAAAAAAAATAACATTTCATTACCATTTATAGCCTGGATCACTGATAAAAGCAGATTTAGTATACTTCTTACATTTCTTGTTTAAGCTATAACATACATTTCCACTATGTGGATATATATGTAGCGCATTTTATAAGGATACACCAACAGGGAGTAGCACATATTTGATGTATAGTTGCTCTGTTCAGTCCTTTGTGCAAAACCAGAAAACATCTGAAAACCTACCAACATGTTGGTACACCTGCAATGAGAGGCCGCATGCATGCAGCCAAGAGAGTTATGCTACGTTCACACCGGACGCAGCAAGAGCAGCAAAATCGCATCTGCTGCTTCATTTTTGCTGCTTGTACCAGTTAGTTCTGACGCGCGGCTGAAGCAGCTTTGCTGCTCTGGCAGCTGGTAGGTGTTTTTCATCTAAATAGTCCGATCTGCAGGCACCAGAATAATAAAAGCCAACATATTCTGCCGTCAGATTTCTGCATTTTAAGTTAATTTATGCGTTAATAAACTGTTTCAGAGGAGTGATCATAGCGCTCTGTATCATCAGCGCTGTGTCTCTCTCCCTGCCAGCTCCCAGATCAGCTTCTCTTATTGGTTGACGTGGCGCGTCGAGCAGCAAAAGTAAAATTTTTCCATCTCGAGCAGCAGCGCGTTTGCGGCACGCCACGCGCGTCAGATGCTTAAACGCGCCCGACTCGCTGCTTAAGCTGCTCAGACGCGCTGCGCCTGCTGCTCAAAACGCGCCGCGGGACCTTTTGCTGCGCCTTGACGCGCGTCAACCATTGACTTTGCATGTAAACTCGCTGCTTCTGTCGCGCCTGCTGCGTCCGGTGTGAATGCAGCATTATGGTAATTCTGGGGGAGATGCAGAGATTCACTGCTCCGGTGGGAGAAACTATTAGACCAGTGCTCCGCAAGCCTGGTCGTAATGGTGAAATGGCTGAAAGTTGACCTAAAACACTACTGTACGGGTGGTGAAAATTGAACACACCATCCAAACAGTAAAACAAAGTGGTGGCAGGGTCATCCTGTGGGAAAGCCTTTATTTTTAGCAGGGAATTTTCAAAAAAGAAGTTTGTTGATGTCATGTCGTTGCTAGGGAATAAACAGTGACGGCACAGTTTGGAGTTTTTGGTTTTAACATCACAGAATTAGAGGCAGGAAAGTTTAAAACGGTGGGAAAACTTTTTGGGACAGGTTCTTTAAGTCACCCCGACAATCTTCTTTCTAAGAAGTAATCCTCTAACCAGCTCTTTCTCCTCATTCCTCGCCTGCAGGAGCGGATTTCAGAGATTGTGAAGAAAATGTTGGAGGGTTTTGGGAGGAAGGGCTACATCGCTAACCTCGGCCACGGCCTTTACCCCGACATGGACCCAGAGAGCGTCGGTGCCTTCATCGAAGCCGTGCACCAGCACTCTAAACTCGCAATCAAACAAGCATGAGGACAAGATAGAGAATGTATATTATTAATGATGTGGAGAAAAATGCATTATTTAATAAAAAAAAATCTAAACCTGTATCTATGTTTAAGTAACAAAAACAACTGTGTGAATCACTGCTAAACACAATCACATATCGTGCAGCTGTTCAGGATAAACATGTTGCTTCTCTAAAATGGGATATTTTTCTTTTCATCCATGAGGTGTTTATCCAACCAGGAGTGGATTATGTGCTTGGATTGAAAAGCAATCAGATGATTCTAGCATGTAGATGTACATGTAGAGCTCAGCTGTAGGACCATATTAGTGAGGATATTTCATCTGTTGGTAAGCTTGGATGATGAATATTTTACAAGTATTATGTTTTTTTTTTTTTTCAGGAATGTTACTGTAGCACATATAAATATATAAAACGCTGAAATACTTAAGTATATTTAGAGTCTATAAGCTTGTCTTCAGGCAGAGTAGTTCTTTTGAAAAACAAATGAGGGATTTAAAAGCCCTGTAAACAACAACAGGTGATTTGTTTTAAAGGGTTTTGTCAAGGCAGCTTTTGTCAAAGTAAGAAAAACATTTGCTTTTTTTTGGGAGGAAATGTCAGCACACAGCAGATGTTGATGACTCTGCTGCCTAACATCCTGACTGAGCAACTCCCCCTGCTGAATCTCGGCATGGGAAGAGTCACACACACATACTTCCCTTACCGAGAAAACGGATAAGAACCTACAAATCTGGATTTTTGTGTGGTCGTTTTCAGTCCTGGTTTATTACATCTTAATGTTTTTTTTTTACAAAGAAATTGCTGTCTTACCTAACCATTAACCTCTATAGGAAGGAAGTTGGGTAAGATGTTTAACAGCATCCAGTAACCAACGTGACTTAAACCTCAGAGCCTGAAGGGTGATGCATGGTGATCACGAAAGAAATCCACTGGGACCACAGGCGTAACTTTATGAAGGACTGGTGTGGACATGTCCCCACAAATAATTTTAATACATAGACTTTGGCAATATGTGGGACAAATTTCTAAATTTGATTTTGCTGCTTTTGAAGGAGGATAATCACTGATGTAGCTGAAAGAGAACATCGATCAATCCACATTTTTCTAGATGGATTGATGGATGAAACTGAAATTGTGTCCATACTAGGGAGGCATGATATATTGCTGTTGGCATCAGAATCTGCTGTTATTCCTTTTTTTTTAATACATTAATGTCTAAATACCTATAAATATCAGTGTATTTTGGTTCTTTTCTGTTCTCAACAATAGGAAAGCATTAAATAAATATATGTTTGAGCTCATTTTTGGAAAATATAAACCCTATTGAAAGCGTTTGTGTTGAGTAACTGTAGGTCCATCAGCCGCCACCCTTAAAGTGTCCTTACCAACTTTCATCACAAAGTCACACCCTTGGTTGGGACAAAAGTCATATATATATATATGTGTGTGTGCGTGTGTAGGAGTAAATTAAGGAAGAATTCAATATTGATTTTCAAGAATTTCAGCCCTAAAGGTTAAACTCTAGAAATAAATGTAATTATTTTAAGGTGTGTTGAAGCAGTACTTGACCTCTAAGAACATCAAAACTATCCTACGTAACATGAAGACCTGCATTAACCTGAGCATGGTGGTGGTATAATGATGCTGAGGCTTTTTTGCCACAGGAGGCACTTATGCACGGTACAAGGTGAAAAATAATTAACAAAATCCTTAAACCTTGGATGGTTAAAACTGGCTTCTGGGATATTATTTGAAGAAGTTGATGCCAGACGTGCATCAAGTCTAACAGGCTAAAATGTCAACCTCAGTGACAGTATACAGCCTGTTTTTTGTTTTTATTTTTTAGATGTGTGAGGAAACCAACCATTTTTGAGGAGAAAAGTGATCAAATATCTCTATATAACTATGCCAGGACCGTTGATGGTCGAAACTCGGGGACTTTCTAAGGGACATTTCAGAAAATATTAAAAATTTTAGTCTTGCAAGTTTAAGAAAACCTTGTAAGAACGGTGTGCACCAAATTTGTTTATTCAAATTCAGGGAATGTCTTTACTCTGTCTAATGAAACTCAAAGAGAATTGTTGAAGTTAGATCCATGCTGGTGGAGAGTAACTTCTGATGAGCAGGGTAGGTCAGCATAAGGCACCTCACATCTAGTAAGCTTGGAGCTCTGAAAAATTCTTCTTTTTGAAAAAGAAATGCCTTGGTATCATCTGAAGCTAGAGTGGGAATGAAAAAGAATTAAAAAAAAAAACTTGATTGATCATGTGTGATTCAATAGCGAGACCTGGTTAGGAAAATGGGGCACAGACACGACTCTGTGTTGAAACTGGGACAGGGAGTAAGACAGTGTCCTGCCTGAAGGTGTGGGAGTCTGTTTTTAACAGCAAGTCTCCAGTCCTTTGAGAAATGCTCTGCAGTAAAGGGGCTATAGGAGTAAACAGCTCAAGTAGAGCATGATTTTTAGTTTCCTAAGAAATGCATTGAAATGATTACGAAATGTTAAAATGCTCCTCTGATACATCAGTGGATCATGTGTGTTTGAGCTTAAGATTTCAGCACATAGTGATCGTAACATTGAAGCGCTTCCACTTCCACATAACCCTAAAAACACAACATTTATTCACACCGCTGGCAGTTTGCTTGATTTAGAACAAAATTGGATTGAAATTGGCAGAAGTGTCAAAAGTAATAAAGTTTATTACTCAATTAGAAGTATAAATTATATGGTTTAAAAATACTTTTGTTGAAGTTAGAGTAACAAATTAAGCTTTTTACTCAAGTAAAAATGTAAAAGTGCCATTTTTAAAGCTGCTTGGAGTATAACAGTAAAAGCATTGCAGGAAAAAAAATAAAGACAGAAGCTTTACTGCATTAGCCTATTAAAGGAAAAAGTTTCTACAATTCTGGATAAAACTTCCAAAAACCTTATATTGGTTATTGAATTGCATTAGGAAACTTTATCTGCAATTCTGGGTGTTTCGTATACTTAATTTTCATAGTTTTATAACTAATGGTAACATTATCAAATTTAACTTTGCATCATCTTGAAAACAATTATTTTGGTGTGTTGCAAACAACAGATTGGTGCTGCAATGAGTTCAACTACAAAGAAATTATTGTCTGGATGAAACAAATAATTTTTGATGTTTTGTATTTTTTTGTTTAATACCAACAGGCCATAACTAAAATGAGCTTAAAATAGAGTCTGTTTTTAGATTTTAAGGAGTAGAAAGTAGAGATACTTGCAAAAACATGTATAGAGTAGTTGTCTGAAAGTAAGGAGCTGTCTGAAAAATAATTACTTCAATAAATTATAGATAGCCTAAATTTCTACTTAAGTAAGGTAACAATTAGTATTAGTCTGTGATTGGAAAATAAGACTGCGTCTCTAACCATAATTGTGTTAAAGATAATAAAAACAATGCGTTAAAAAAGCAGTGCTTTTTTTCTAATTCATTTGAATAAAGAGCAGGAAATTAAAAGCGCTTTTAAGGTTGGAATATTTCCTTATAATATATATTTATAGGTAATCTAGAGTTTTCCAGGAATAAATGAATCACTTCCTGTTTCCCTGTAGTGTAAATATGACACAGGGCTGGATTTTTGTCACAAGGCCAGATAATGACCCGCTCACATAAAACAGAATGAAAAAAAGAACAAGCCAGTATCCATCAAACAGTTGTTTCACCATCACCAACAGGTTTGAACATTTTAAAAGTGTTTTTTTTTATTTTTTTTTACCATGCTTGTTTCATTTAGTATTAATTTAAATACTACAGTAATTAAGTGATTTCTTTTTCAATAAGATTTTAACACACCGTGACCTATCCATTAAACTTTAAATACAGGAAGTAAGAGACTGATTGTGAGGAATAAACTGAAAGTGTTTCCTAAACAAAGAATAAAAAAAAAAACACTAAATAAGTGTTTGCCTCTTGGAAAAAAAATAAAAAAGGCAAAAAATTCCTGTCTAACATGACAGAGATTTCATCTTGACAATTTTGGACTTTTGTCACAGGGAGTGAGATGGTCTGACTCAGTGCCATGAAAGCCTAAACATATAGACAGCATGGTGTAAGTATACTATAAGCACAGTGGAGGGTGTGTGATGCAGTGGGGTTTCCTCTCCAAAGCCCTGGAAACCTTACATTATTTCTTTAATTTACAATTTCAATTTAAACAAAAATGTTGGGTGCAACGAGCAAACAAGACACTTTTTTGTTGTGGTTGAGCAGAATAATTATCTAAAAAGAACACATCAGCGAACCAGCACAGAAGTGACTAATCAAACACAAAATTGACCGATGGGGTGTCGGATGTAAAACCTAAGAAACACATTAGAGGAGAAGACTAAATGGCACCCTATTGGTTGTACAAAATGTTTTAAAAGCATAGGCAACATCTATTTCTATCTAGGCATCTATTTTTTGCCCCAGAGAATAAATGTAGTGAAATTTAAGGTTAAATTTTATAACAAGAAACCTGGAAACATAAAAAGTAAATATAAGTTATTCAAGGTCAAACAGAGTGAATAAAAATCATTAAGAAACACAGTAAGGTTTGCTGTTTGAAATAATACCTTAAAAGGAAATGATCATGTGAAACTTTGGATTCATCTTTTCTGTGATTAAATAAAGGAGAAATGAAAAAAACTTAAAGTATTATCAACACCCAGACAGTTGCCTGGAAGAATTCCAGGAATTTTTACGGATTCTAGACCAAGAATTAAATTACCACCAAGAACAGCAAAGTTCAAAGCAGACATACACATGTGTCTGTGCAGAGAAGGTCAAACTTAGAAACATAATTACATGAGTGTTTGCAGATTAAAGCAAACCAGGGAATTCTCTGAAAAACCCTCACATGAAATGACTTACCGTGTGAAATGGTTCCATTTTCAGACAATTTGCTTTAAAACGGTTTTAATAAGCTGAAAGCTAACTTTCCTGAAATAAAACCAGACCCAGCCAGGATACGATCCAGGACCCATTCTCAGCTCTCCTGGCCTTTTTTTTTTTATCCGTACCGGATTTGACAAATGAATCAATTGGGGAGGGGGGTTAACAAAAAGCTCCA